TATTCAATAAAATCTGAGAATGTATACTATATCTAGATCTATTATTTTAAAATTATTTTTAAAATAATTCCATAAATTGGGGTAAAACAAAAATATTCCAACTATATGAGCGACAGTGTATTTATGGGCCTTGAAGCATGTTGGCTGAAAGAATAACACTCTCTGTGATTGGGGAGGAATGTACCCCGACAAAAATATAGTGGATTGAAATAAACTCAAATTTCATTTCAACCAATTTGTGAAGTCACGTTCTTCAAATGCATAGTACATTATGGTTGTGTATAGAAATATTGATAATTATTTTTTTGTACAATTAATTGTTAACATCTATCAAAATTTAGATGCAAAATTTGGGGATATTCTTGGATGTCCTTGAAAGTTAGAGGAAAAGGAGAGCAGTGCAAATTGATGACACTTCCGTTAAGCTTTCACTAATCTAATTGCACGTTCGGCCCACGATAGGCTTTCTAGTCCATTCACCCGATGATCGAGTCTCATAGAGCTTCCGACTGGCGCCATTATGTGGAGAGCCAACATGGGCGAACCGCCGACCTTTACACATTGTTTAATGTTCCATAGATATTAAACAAATCTGTCCATTAGAATGCTCACTTAGGGCTTTTGATGAAAAGAACTAGGCTTTTCTGTTTTTCACTTTTACATTCATGTGTATTTGTTTCACGTAATTTTTAAAATGGTAGCACGACACAATACGTATATATATTACATGTATGTATGTAGATATTATTTTGAAATAGTGTATAGCTCACACACACGCTTTACATTAATGTACATACGCATTTACGATATAGACACGAACACCAACAATCTCAAGTAATTCATCGGTTAATAAGTGAACTAAAATAGTACCTCCACCCGTTTGAAATAGGTACCTTGCAATCGTTGGGGGTAATAACTATTGCAGAACCCTCAGGAAGAACAGTATTGAAGCCGACGAAGCTTCCCTGGATAAACAAAATTGTTAATTATAATAATTATTAGTATCATTATTATTATCACAAGTAGGCCTACAGTGTTATGACCACAATATCTGTATCAACTTTTCTTCTTCTTTTTTAGCAGATGTTTCTGTATTTATTTAAAAAAAATCAAATACAAAATATCTAAACAATAATAAAAGTACATAATTTAATTAATTTACATAAAAATATGTGACAACTGAATTACAACACAAATACATAGATATAATTGAAAACTTGAAAGTTTGGAGGTAAATAACAAAATCCAGACTCAATGAATGAAGACATGCAGAGAGTTTAATACTGTCAGGTAAAGCATTCCAAAATATATCCGGACTTATAGGCAATAATAACTTTTGGTTATTTAAATGTAGGTCGGATGAGTGTCGTGTAGGGTAAGAATGTATATTGTACAGCCTTAAGATAAATCTTTGTAACAAAAAGTTTGCAATCATTTTTTTTTTTAATTGAGTTTGTTCATAAAGAAAATTATGCAGTATTGCAAGACGTGATTTGAAGTTTTCAGCTAACTAACATGATTAATTATCTCATACATTTTCCATAAAATTCTGCGGATTTCTGTGTGTGCGTGCTTCACACAGACCAGTGCACTCTGAACGACGAGTTTACAGGTCACAAGTGGGGATAGCCTTCATGCGATTTAAGGGGAACAAGTCGGTGTGTAAATTGCACATAGGGCCATATCCATTGTTATATCTATATCCAATAATACAAATTGAATAAATTTATCGCGAAGGGATTTAATTACGATCGTGCGAACACTTAATAAACGTTTGCAGGGCAATACAAAATTAACGCCGGGAGAGATCAGTACTCATCAAAATGTAATTAGTCTCATCAACAGATTGATTAAGATTGACCCCATCTGTCGGAGATTCGTCCAAATTTTGTTTTTTATAATACGCATCGAGTCCATCGTCTGCGAAGTGGGAATTAGGTTTAATACGCACTGTTGGCAAGTTGACCGTGAGATTGCGCTGTGCAATAAACGGTTAAAGTGCCAGTTGATGGTTGAAGGTTGATAAAAAAAACTCCGTCATTTTTGTATGAAATGTTACATATTATATTCCTTCTACTGTACTTACCCTCTAACACTGATGCAACAAATCCTTTAAACATTCTCAAACCACAAAGATAGTTATGGCTTTCTTTGTAGGCATTACTGTGCAGTAAATCTCCCAACCGTTTTTGAATTCCCCAACAGTTTTTCCATGAAAATAAAACATAAGACAGGCTTTTAAAAATCTTTCGACACTTCAATGTCTGGAATGGTATATAGAGCCAATTCATTGCTCAAATTTGTGACGTTTTACATTCACCTAAAGTGTAATTAAATTGTTAAAATATTGTTGGGAGAGTTATGGAATCGATCAGATCAGTTTCCCCCAATTTTTATCATTAATAATGGTCTGTTTTTACTCAAACTTTCAGATTATCTTTAATTGTACATCTAGCATTGAAGTCACTACCTTAGCACCATTTTTTCTCATCTGTACAATGTTACCAAGTCCCTTTAAAGGTAAAGACCAGTTATGGTCATGCGATTGCATTGTGAAAGAAACGTTGTGGAATCGATCAGAAAAGGTTGATCATCTAGCATCTAGCATCTGCAAGGTTCTGGAATCATCAAAATGATAAGAAATTTGGCCCATTCTTCGTAAAGTTACAAGCACTATACACAGAAAGATGTATATGGGACTACCCTATATCTCTCACAGACCATGAGAGAAACAATTTACCAAATATATGAATTAGTAGGCGGTTTCCCGGCAAATTTTTTATCATCATGTATTAGTCAAAACATATTCTTTCACATGATTGGTAATGAGAGCTTCCATTTCATTTTTTGAAATTGGGCGTTTCCAATACTGGTCTTTACCTTTAAGGCAGAAAGTTAATCAGTTCAGTATCGCTTTAAGCAGCGTGTGCGTATAGGATACATGCGTGTATAACCCAGTGTATAGTGTTTATTAATTTTCACACTATGTGGACGTGTTCCTTCCCAAATTCTAATCTATCTTTTTCAGTCTACCGTATATTTGATTACAATCAACTACCAAAGTGTTGCAGAAATATACGATTATACGAAACACTCCAATTGTAGGAAGAATAGGCCTAAATCAGATCTGATATTCATAATTGATTAAAAGTAGATTCATTTGAAACCTGGTTATACGAATATTTCGTTAAATGATAATTCAATCATTTCAGTACATTATGTATTATGACGATTTAACATAATTACTCAATCTTGCAGGAAAAACAAACACATCGAAAAGCAGAAGCATGAGAAAAATTAAGGGAGAATGCTCTCAATAATACATTGCCAATATGATGTTCTCACATAGTGTCAAAACATTGATAGCGCTTAAAAGGATTGGGTTAATTTGTCTCCGATTGTGAAACAAAATCCTTGATTTAGTTCATGCTGCAATGATAATTATTAACCTTGAGGCTAGTCAGGAACTCCATGACTTTTACAAGCCGATCGCCTGTCTGATTATCAAGATATTATCTAGGGCGGGCCCTAGGATTCGAAATTGAAATCAAATTCTGCGTTTTCGTACGGTTTTATAACACTACGGTCTATTGGAGAAGACGAGTATGGTAAAACCGGTCACTCAAAGATTTTTATTTTTTGAGGCACTTTTTGATCATTTTGAAGCGCAAATTGTTTAGGGCTTCAATGTTACGCCATATTGCAGACACTCAGTGATAACACGTAGGGCCGTGCATCTCAGATTTAACATTGTTAAACGATGTCCGCTTACCCCCCCCCCCCCCCCCCCCCCCCCCACTGAGCGACTTTTCGGCTGGCTGAGTCGGTGCGATTTTTTTTGGACTCCAAAAAAAAAAAAAAAAAGTGTCCGCTTACCCCCCCCCCCCCCCCCCCCCCCCCCCCCCCCCCCCCCACTGAGCGAATTTTTGGCCGGCGCGATTTTAAATTTTTCGGGAGCAAAATATTTTGGGCCCGATTTTAAACCCCCCCCCCCCCCTTGAAAAAATCCTGCGTACGCCCCTGAACAGCGCAATGGCTACGTGCCTGAATATCAAAGGTTTCAGCTATAATCCATGAGAATAAAATTGCTTATGACCTTGGTAGAGACTAGCGTCGTAATTGATTGCTTTTATTCCCGATCACATATTCGCTTTATAGAGCCCAATGAGTTCATCAATATTAGGAGGCTAAAATAATCTGCGGCTGCCCGATTTCGACACCAGTGTTACGAGTGGCGTGTCTGGCTATATGCCACTGCCTCTCTCTCTCTCTCTCTCTCTCCCTCTCTCTCTCTCGCTCTCTATGTCTGACTGTCTGTCTCTGCCTACCTGTATCTCTTCTTTCTTTCTCTCTCTCTCTCTCTCTCTCACACACACACACACACGCATATAATCACACACACGCACACCAAAGTGGGAATGTACCAGGCCTACAATAGGTTTGGAGATAAGAAGTTGGGAACACATAGTACTTAGCGAGAGAGAGAGAGAGAGAGAGAGAGAGGGAGAAGGAGAATATTTGTTACAAAAAAAGAGAGAAACCAAAATGAAGAGTGGTGAGAGAGAGTGTGTATGTGTGAGAGTAAGGGAGATGATCATCTGAGAATGATAAAGATGATTTAAAATGTAAATTTTCTTGTTTTCCGCAGTGATTCCTGCCACCAGCATGCGTCTCAACGGGTTAAAAGGCTCATCGAGTCGAGTCTTCCTTGCTATTCTCTACACATCCATCCTCTGGTTCACTCTCGATGTGCTGATCCTCGCAATGTACTCCTCTTTGTCAGAGGACAGCAATGGTTCTACACACAAACTCCCCACAAACGCCGAACCTCAGCGAAATGCGCGCAATGAGGAACCAGCCTACGCGCTGTCGGGGGAAGCCGCACTGGACACTCATCTACGGAACGACATCGTGCGCGATGATTTAAACAAGCCCGCGGAGGCGAACAGAAGATTGGTTGCGCGCGGGGGACGTGGGCGACGGAAACCAAGCAGATTTTCTTGGGGGAACAACCTCGATAATAAACTCTTACATTCCAATAAATCAAAAGAACATCTGCAGCTGAGCAATGACAAACTAGTTGACGACCTCGTCGACGATAAGAGGCTCTTAGAAGTCAGAGGCGAGATGAAAAAGGAAATTGAAATGCTGAAGAAAGAGCTGGATAAAGTTCGAGGGAACAACGAGAAAATTGTTTTGCAAGGTCAGGATGATAAATTACCCCGAAATGACATAAAATCCAGTGATACTCGTCCAAGATTAGACCGAGGCAGTATCGATGATTCGAAGGTACAGAAGAAAAAGGAAGAAGCAGAAAAGGGAGACAATAATGGTGAAAAGAAAAAGAATAGAGTGAGTAAAATCATGTTTAGTCTATAACAACGGGTATTTGGGTTGGCATGTGTAAGTTGTTTAATGTTTTACATGATTATTTCAGTCATACGCAATATCACGACGTCCCCACTGTGAAAGTGTGTAATATTTAAAAACGAAGAAAGTTGAAATTTTAATCTCGAACGAAATAAAAACAAATGTCAAACATGTTTATTTTTAAAATAGCATTCAAATAATTTTAATCGTGCTGGTGAAAGCAAAATCATTCAATAGAAAGATGACTTACAGTTTAATACAAAACATGGTTGATAACAAACAAATATTCCATGATACTTCCTTAATAACTAGTGAACAGTGGAACAACATTAATGATCGAATGAGGCCGTGATCTATGCGTCTATATTGAACTAGAGACATGTTCTGACTGAACAGTAACTTTCAGAAAACCCGTGTATCTTTCATTTTCCTGGAAAACAGGAAAAGAATCTATGTATAGCTAGAATGTATCAAATCAACCTCAAATAAACTTAACCCGGCATTTTATGGACTAAAGAATTTGATTGAGGGTGGCTTCAAACTTGCAAAATCTCTTTAAAGAAGTGATATATGAAGCTCACACTTTAAATATTGTGTACCGACATAGATCCACTAACCTGCAGAGAAAAATATCCATTGGTGTTTGGTAAACTTCACATATTTTTGACGTTACCTATCACATTTGATAACAATAACGTTCTTTCTTGGCAGGATCCCTCAGCTAAGCACCTGATCCGTGATGTTGATGTCACCTCTCAACCACATAACCCCAATGGCCCGGGAGAACATGGCGCCGGGGTTCGGACCAAACTAGAGGAACAGGCCAAGGTCAAGATCGGCTGGGACCATGCCTACTTCAACGAGTACGTCAGTGATATGATCTCGGTGGAGCGGTCGGTACCCGATGTCAGGCACAACTTGTAAGTCCAAATTTCAAACTACTAGCATCTTGGAGACGATCGAGAAACCATCATTGGGCAATTTCAATAGCCTTGTCCATCACTGGCTTATGGAAATGTGCGAACATTACGATGACGTAATCCGTACAAGACTGAATGTGGAGAATATAGTTGGGTATTGAAATTGCCCAGGTTGAGTTCGAAATTTCTCGAAAGTCTTTGTAATCGTGATTTCTACTCCTAAAGTAACGACAGATGGCAGTACATCACTCAGTACTCGACACAAAACAGATTAAACAATTATTGACCATAATATGTATATTTTTATAATTAAATAATAAAACCTAACGTCATGCATACAAATGTTAGGCTATCTATGAGGCGCAAATATCAATAAATTTAATGACTGGCTTTTGTTGGCGCGCGAGACTAAATATGAATTTATGTTGCTCGACTCGGAGACAATGAAAATATAGTTATTTCTATGGCAATATATTTTCAAGACGTCGTTTATCTACAGTATTGTCTACCGATACTAGCATTGCTATACAGTGCGTCCCAGAAAAAACGAAACCGAGAAGTATCGATGTTTTATCATAACTTAAACACAACCATAATTAATAAATGATACATATTTGGAAAGCTTAGAGTCTCCTCTTTCAGTTGATGCTACTCACGTGATGTATATTTTATGCATGAGTGATTAAAAGCAATTTGAAGGAAGGAAACCGAAAAGTAATTTGGCGGGCGGTATCTGAATTTCAAAGAAAAATTCATATTTCCAGAAAGTTCATTTTCTGCTCTTTCATATGATACCTCAATCAAGAAAAATGAGCCAGGAATAACAAAGTTCTGTTTGTTTAAAGTAGCCCTTACATTTTCATAATTTTAACAAACGAATCCGTTTTCACTGGGTGCCTGCCGTAGCAAAAAGCAGATTTGACAAAAGACTTAACTCCGTTTCGTTGACAATCAGCCGTAGACAAGAGTCTTCATGCACGGCTGATTGTCAACGAAACGGAGTTAAGTCTTTTGTTAATTTCGTTTATTAATACGACAGGCAGCCAGTGAAAACGAATTCGTTTATGGAAATGCAAGCACTACTTTAAACGAACAGAACTTTGTCATTCCTCGCTCATTTTTCCTGATTGAGGTGTCATATGAAAAGGCAGAAACTCAACTTTTTAGAAATGTGAATTTTTCTTCGAAATTCAGATACGGCCCGCCAAATGTCTTTTTGTTTCCTTCCTTCAATTTGCTTTTAATCACTCATGCGTGAAATATGCATTATCTGAGTAGGATCAACTGAAAGAGGAGACTCTAAGCTTTCCAAATATGTATCATTCATTACTTATAGTTTTGATTATGTTATGATAGAACATCGATACTTCTCGGTTTCGCTTTTTCTGGGACGCACTGTATAATAAAGATGTTACACGACGAGGAATATGACAATTACGAATGACTTTGTAAAGTACGAGTGTTTATGCGTCATGGATGTGCGATTATAATCGCTTATATCTCACCATATAAAAGGCATTGACTTTTAGATAGAACTGAGCCAATATGACTATAATGTTGTGGATGTGAAGAGGTATCTTAGCCATGGAATTTCGGTACTGGTTTCGTCGACGATCTCCATACACTCAGAAGTGTGGAGTTTGAAGCCGAGATTGAATATGTGGTAAAACAGGGTGGTCTTTGGGAATCTCCTGTGGATGTTCGAAGGGAACATCGGATGCTGCGTGGTGAACTGGAGGCACTGGCTGCCCTTCCTGTATTGATCAATGTAGGCACTCAGGGTGGGGATATTCTCTAGGAAGTTGAGGCCACCATAGATGCGCCACGATTGCGGTGCGTTGTCTTCTTCGCTGACGAAGATCTCGATGACATACTTACAAGTCTCTTTAATAGTAGGCTCTACTTTGATCGGTGTCTCGACCAAGACCCCGCTTGGTGTGCTTGCAGTCTTGCTACGGAGATCCTGAGAGATGAGAACCTGCAGTTCCGGAAGCTGGTAGAAGGCTGCTTCCTGCTGGAGAAGCCGGTGCTCCTGGAAATCATTGGGGAGGCAGAGGGCGCCCCGCCGTAGATAGTTCAGAACGTGTCGGAACATCTGACCATCGCCGTCTATCATGTAATTTCCTGTAGTAGAAGTTCAAGATGAAAAGCAAAATGGAATGCTGAATGTGTAGGAATCATTGAGATTCGTGGATAGGCAGCACGATCGTATAGATTTTCGAAAAATCAAGTTAGGGCAATTCAATAGCCTTGACCATCACCTATTGATAAGCGTGGACATTATAATGAGGTAATACGTATTCGATACATACCTTATATTTGATATACATCGTCGCTGTTTTCACGAAGTGACGGTAGTGAAAAAAAATTGCATTCACTTTGCGTTACGATTTTCCTCACTACCGTCACTTCGTGAAAACAAGGACGACATGTTTGAAATTACCTTTTAGTTGAATTTTCAAAAGCCTCAACAATAACTACATGTATTTCAAGGAAACCTAGGCCTGTGCTTTTAACAACAGGAATTCTACCCTGGACAATTAGACCGGACAACTATCCCCAGGATAAATACCAACAAGGAAACTACCAATGATGCCATGAGATCACGTACCCTCTGACAACGACCCCCTGAAACAATTCCCCTGGGTATATCTTAAGAAGTTTAATTTGAGTATGCATATTGTTCTTGTGATGTCATTGAACTCTTCTTGAGGAAAGTTATTTTAAAAAATCATGAAGTTTTTTTTTGTAGTATTTAAAAAAAAATTGTATTCATTCATTAATGTACATCATACAAATTAAACAAATTATTTCAAATTATATAACATATACAGTACACAATATAAAATAAACCCACAACTCTATTATTTTGAATGAAAAAATCTTATCGTAATAACCCCCTTCCCCAAATTAAAACAAAAAACAATGACGAATCCTTAAAACAATTATTTAAAAAAAAAAAATTAATGAGCTCTTGCTAAACATATTGCGAGTTTCTTCCGATATTCAGTATAATTATTATAAATATTATAATTTTACCTTGGCCATCCTTTGGGGTCGGGACCGATGCTGTGAAGAGTATTCCCAGTAAAGAGTCGGGGTATCGAAACAGTGTGCTGCGACTAGTCATATACACCACACCACCTACGTTTAAACCAACGAACTCCTCCACGGATCTAGGTACGACCTGGACGACGGGGGCTACCGAGACCTTGGGCTGGACGGGGTCACTCCCTACACCCTTCTTTTTCTTCTTCTTCTTCTGATTAAGTCCGATTAAGTCACCTTCTCCCTTATTTGCTGCTCCCCCATCTTCGCTTGTCCGATCTTGATAGTGTCCTCCAGTATCATCCGACTGTTCCTCTCCCTCTCCTTTATCAGCTGCTCCCCCATCTTCGCTTGTCCGATGTTGTTCCCCAGTGTCCTCCGACTGTCCTCCGATTTTCTCCTGTTCCTCAGGCTCAGGTTTTTTCTCCTGCGTTTCCTCCATGAGTTTAAAACCCGGTCTTTCACGATGATTTTTTGAACGCTTCCCATTAGTTTTCTCAGTGTCCGCTTTGGTTTGTTCATTCCCCATGACAATCAATGACAGTTTGTAATGATGAAGACTGGATGACGGTAGGCGCTACGACAATTCCAAAACGGTCTCTATCTTTCTTGTTTTCCTTCTGCTTTTCCTCCTGTTTTTCCTTTTGCCTTTTCTCGTACTTTTCCTCCTGCTTTTCTAACTGTAGGAGCTGTGGCTGATCCAAAATATAAAGGAATGGCACAAGTAAGAAAAAAGATGTTAACATAAATCACACTGTACTGCAGTCACTTGTGCTGGGCCTTGTATCATGTCATAGGTATTGTATGGTGGCCCTGAAGGGACATCGCGAATAGACTAAATCGCGAAAAATTGGCGATAAAATTCACGATATTGTAAATTTTATCGCCAATTTTTCACGACGAAATTCACGAAATTCACGATATCGTGAACTTTATCGTGAAAAGTTCACGATAAAATTGACGATATCGTATATTTTATCGTGAAAAGTTCACAATAAAGTTCACGATAAAATTGACGATTTCGTATATTTTATCGTGAATTATTTTCTCCTGGCCTGGGCGGTTCGTAAACAAAACCAGCCCTAGCTAGCTTGATTGAAGACGATTATTATGACGAGACGTTTTTACGATGATTTCTGTGAAAATGGTAGGTTTAACTTCATATTATACTCTATTTGTATTTTATCTTTGACAAGATAGGGATAAAAGTAATTGCACAGCGGAAAAATTACCCGGTATGCAATTAATGGTCTAGATCATAGATGCACTCAATGGCAATGCATTTTCCCATACATTCATTTCCATGTTGTAATATCCTGATATAGAGTCTAGATCTAGGTCTAGACCTAGTATTGAGTTATGTAATTGATCTAGATCTCGATCTAGGCCTACTTTTATTAGTAGGCCTACGAACTAGCACACTCAATTTCTCAAACTGAGTCTACAAAGACTGACAGAGTCCATTGCAATAGCACACTCGTACTCGTCGACTAGACGCAAACTGAGCTGAGCTGAGCTGATTCAATTCGATGTAGATATTAGGCAAGCACCAGATCTAACTGTTATAGATCTACAAATCATGATAGATAAATACAAGGGATCGTTTAACAATGTTAAGTCTGACTCTGAGATGCAATCATGCATGGCCCTAGATCTATGTGTTATTTATAATATTACTAGATCTATGTCTGTGATACAGTGTAATATCATTATTTTATGACAAGATTAGGGGCGCTGGTCCGAGAATGAGGATCGTCTGCATAAACAAGGATATCCTAGTCGTAAAAACGGACAAATTGCGTTCGCGAACGTCTTTTTTTCATCGGCACTCTGCGGGTTTCAGGTTCCCAGCGCGGGCATCAGGATTCAGGGCATGCAAAAAAACAGATTCCTTGTAAGAAAATAACCCCAGTCTCCTTGGCACTTGTTCAGAAACGTGTCTAAAATTTGACCCGTAACTCCGGCGTGGAGATACCCTACTATAACATACCCAAAATGAAGTAAATATTCATTAAATGTCCATATAAGATCATGAGTTAAAAGTCGTTATGTTTATTACCTGTTTCGTGTCAATTTTTTTGTCATTTTTGGAGTATTTTTTGGAATAACAATGATATTACTAGATCTATACACTTTTTCTCAGGTTTCACGGCAAACCGCTGCACAATACAAGTGCAATAGTTTAAACATATTTGTGGCTTACACCCAGTAAATAAGATCGATTGATCGATCCGTAATTGAAAAACAAGTCAGAAAAAATCTTGGAACCAGCGGGATTTGAACCTGCCATCTACTGCTTGCCGGGCAGGGACTCTACCACCAGGCCATCACTGGTCCATGGCACAGTCACGATGAACTAGAAACAAATACCCAAGGGCTCTCCTGATTCATTCTGACTTATTAATATTCATTAGTCCGCCATAGGACAATAACTTTTATAAATGTAATGCTTCCTGGGAGAAATTTCAATAGTTTAAACATATTTGTGGCTTACACCCAGTAAATAAGATCGATTGATCGATCTGTAATTGAAAAACAAGTCAGAAAAAATCTTGGAACCAGCGGGATTTGAACCTGCCATGGACCAGTGATGGCCTGGTGGTAGAGTCGCTGCCCGGCAAGCAGTAGATGGCAGGTTCAAATCCCGCTGGTTCCAAGATTTTTTCTGACTTGTTTTTCAATTACAGATTGATCAATCGATCTTATTTACTGGGTGTAAGCCACAAATATGTTTAAACTATTGAAATTTCTCCCAGGAAGCATTACATTTATAAAAAAAAAAAAAATACAAGTGCAGTTCGATGGTGAGTTGCGGGCGGGCGCACGCCTGTGTGAAGTTATCTACCGTAATGAGGATCCGAGACATTACTTCACACAGGCGCGCATCCGCCCGCAACCCACCATCGGTTTGCACTTGTATTGTGCAGCGGTTTGCCGTGAAAAGGTGTAGGTATACTGATATCATCGTTTTTCCGAAAAATACTCCAAAAATAACAAGAAAATTGACACAAAACAGGTAATAAACATAACAACTTTTAACTCACGATTTTTATTTGAATACCTTGAATACCTTGAATACCAAAGCTTCTGGAAGAAAGCCGTCTCCAGCTGCCAAGCTTCCAGGTCTAACTTCAAGGGGGGGGGGGGGGGGGGATGTCCCAGCTTGGCCGGGTCTTGCACCATAGTCATTTTACATCTGAATCTTGCTTGCTGGGTCATATCAGGATTGTCATAATTGGAGTGTCAACTGGGAGAAGGGTGAATGATATTGCTCCTTCTTCCAGTGTTTGGACATTTAATGAATATTTACTTCATTTTGGGTATGTTTTAGTAGGGTATCTCCATGCCAGAGTTACGGGTCAAATTTTTGATAGGTTTCTAAACAAGCGCCATCTTCTTTTATGGGTTGTCCGTCTTCTCGAGGATTTATCGCCCCTTATGTGAAAGTCTCTGTACAAAATTAAGTCAATGTAAAATGCATCAATAAAAACATCGAGGAATCCGTTTTTCGCATCACCAACGCGCGGATTGGAAATTGGAAACGTCTGCGAAAATGCAGATGATCCTTATTCTTGTACCAGCTTCCCTACTGAATATTGAAGCCCTAAACAAATTTCGCTTCAAAATGATCATGAAGTGGCTCAAAAAAGTAATAATCTTTGAGTGACCGGTTTTACCATACTTATTTTCCTGAATAGACTAGGCTCAGGCCCTAGTTTATCAAAACCGTTAGGAAAACGCAAAGTTTAATTTCGATTTCCAATCATAAATAACTTGATAATCAGACAGACGATTGGTTTGTAAAAGGCACGGGATTCCTGACTGACCTAACAGAGGCTAAGCTAAAGGTTTAAAGGTTTAAAATTATGATTGCAGCATGAGCTAAATCCATGATTTTGTTTCAGAATCTGAGGCAATGTTACCGAGTCACTTTAAGTTAGATCTATATTACTATTAGGTATTTACTAGTCTATTTAGTGAATTTCGGCTAGCACCCAGGCCAGGGGCCGGTTTCTCGAAACCGTCATAAGTCTAACTTCTTGACCAAATCAGCTTTAGTAAGCTACTTGTCCGCTACATGTTTAACTAAGACCTCTTTTCCAAGATTAAGGACAACATCCTGACTAAGTACTTCCGTATGTACTTTTTAGTTGATGGGCAGCGAACTCGTAGAGTCCTATGATGCATGAAGTCTAACCGTAAACGCTAAAGGGTAATCCAATCACAGTGTGATTATCTTACCAAAATTCATCTCTTGGAGTGAAAAAAAAAGTGTTATGATGTTTTTCTTTTTGTTTTATAATGTGCAAAGTTTATCACTAGATTTTGTTTGCATATGTTTCTTTTATTATTCATTCAACAGATTACCTGGTTTGCATTCATGCAAGCAAGCCCTACAACTTGTAGTACAACTGCCATGTATCAACACTCCATACAAACCAGCTCAGGATGATGGGAACTAAGCTGAATGTATCCTTATTGAGTGTATGCGTTGAAATGATAACAAAATAAAAATTATCTTAGATAATGATGGGTTATAGATTGCTAAGCTGCTGTTACAGACACTGATGTTGTTTCCCTTCATATCCCTCGCATTCCCTTCTCTTTAACAACCCCTGGGGGCTGGCATAAGATGTTGTTTTCTTTATGAAGGAGTGTTACTACAGTCGAACGGCTTGTAATGCTTTTTTTTTAATTGTCCTTGCTAAAAACCTTGTTGATACATATGATAATATAGTTGGGAGAATTCCGGAATTAAGCAGATCATTTTTTCAAATTTTGATCATTAATGATAGCCTGTTTTCACTCAAACTTTCAGATTATCTTTAAATGTATATCGAGCATTGAAGTCACTACCTTATCACCATTTTCTCTCATCTGAACAATGTTAACAAGAACCTTAAATGAAGCTTGCACAAGAAATACTTTTATTTGTAAAGGTATGAACTAGAAATGTCCAATAGACACCAGTTTAAATATAAAAAGGACTACTTTATTTTTAAGACCTGTTAGAATTGTCAATGGAGAATTGGGCAGTTACCCTTTTTGTTTAAAAGTTGAAATGCAGTGTACATACCACATGTATGCTCATCTAAAGGTCTGTTAAAATGAGATCTGCTTACTATTCATAAGGACCGCTATTCATAAGGACCGCTATTCATAAGGACCGCTATTCATAAGGACCGCTATTCATAAGAACCGCTTTCATAAGGACCGCTATTCATAAGGACCACTATTCATAATTTGAGAAAAGGGTCATTATTCATTAGGGTCATATTCAAACATGTAAGAACCGCTATTCATAATCGAATAGGAGGGTTGCTTTTCATAATGTGAGAAGAGGGTGGCTATTCATGATGCGGAATGAGGGTCGCTATTCAAAATACGAGAAAAGGGTCATTATTCATAAGGACCGCTTTCATAAGGACCGCTATTCATAAGGACCACTATTCATAATTTGAGAAAAGGGTCACTATTCATTAGGGTCATTATTCATACATGTAAGAACCGCTATTCATAATCGAAAAAGGGGGTCGCTATTCATAATACGAGAAGAGGGTGGCTATTCATAATACGAGAAGAGGGTGGCTATTCATAATACAATAAGAGGGTTCGCTATTCATAATACAGAAAGGGTCGCTATTCATAGAAATTAAATAAGCAAACAGAATTATATTAAAGGTAAAAGTTTTGGTATGGGGTCGTGAATTTGGTTCAAATGAACATATTGGAAGCACATGCGATCCTACAGTATTCAGTGATCGTTGTCGCGGT